ACCACCACTGGTCACTTGATCTACAAGCTTGGTGGTATTGACAAGCGTGTGATCGAGAGATTCGAGAAGGAAGCTGCTGAGATGAACAAGAGGTCCTTCAAGTACGCATGGGTGCTTGACAAACTTAAGGCCGAGCGTGAGCGTGGTATCACTATTGATATTGCCTTGTGGAAGTTTGAGACCAACAAGTACTACTGTACCGTCATTGATGCCCCCGGACATCGTGACTTTATCAAGAACATGATTACTGGTACCTCCCAGGCTGATTGTGCTATCCTCATTATTGACTCCACCACTGGAGGTTTTGAGGCTGGTATCTCCAAGGATGGTCAGACTCGTGAGCACGCTCTTCTTGCCTTCACCCTTGGTGTCAAGCAGATGATCTGTTGTTGTAACAAGGTATAAATTAACTCTGTTTTGTTGTTATGCAGTATACTAAGTCCTATGATTTAGTTTGTTTTAGTTTTCATTGTTTGCACTATTCTGATAACACTTTGTTTTCTGTATAGATGGATGCCACCACCCCCAAGTACTCAAAGGGTAGGTACGAAGAAATCGTCAAGGAAGTCTCCTCATACCTCAAGAAGGTTGGTTACAACCCAGACAAAATCCCATTCGTTCCCATCTCCGGGTTTGAGGGTGACAACATGATTGAGAGGTCCACCAACCTTGACTGGTACAAGGGACCAACCCTTCTTGAGGCTCTTGACTTGATCAACGAGCCAAAGAGGCCCTCAGACAAGCCCCTCCGTCTTCCACTTCAGGATGTGTACAAGATTGGAGGTATTGGAACGGTGCCAGTGGGACGTGTTGAGACTGGTGTGTTGAAGCCTGGTATGCTTGTTACCTTCGGTCCCACTGGACTGACCACTGAAGTTAAGTCAGTTGAGATGCACCACGAGTCCCTTCCAGAGGCTCTTCCCGGTGACAACGTTGGGTTCAATGTTAAGAATGTTGCTGTCAAGGATCTCAAGCGTGGTTTCGTTGCTTCTGACTCCAAGAATGACCCTGCTAAGGAGGCAGCCAACTTCACTGCCCAGGTCATCATCATGAACCACCCTGGACAAATCGGAAATGGTTATGCTCCAGTGTTGGACTGCCACACTTCTCACATTGCTGTTAAGTTTGCTGAGCTCGTCACCAAGATTGACAGGCGTTCAGGTAAGGAGATTGAGAAGGAGCCTAAGTTCTTGAAGAATGGTGACGCCGGTATGGTTAAGATGATTCCCACCAAGCCTATGGTGGTGGAGACTTTTGCTGAGTACCCACCCCTTGGTCGTTTTGCCGTGAGGGACATGAGGCAGACTGTTGCTGTTGGTGTCATCAAGAATGTTGAGAAGAAGGACCCAACTGGCGCCAAGGTGACCAAGGCTGCTTTGAAGAAGAAGTGAACAGATTTTTCGTCATTTGAGACAGATAATTGCTGTTATGAGTATACAGACTTGTCTATCAGTAGTTTCTGTGTGTTTTATTTAGACTTGTGTTTTCTGTGTCTGCAACTTTTGCCGCCAGCGTCTTCCAGCACTTGTTCTCAGTATTGGGTGCTGGATCGACGGTGGCATGATTTTGGTCTGCGGCACTTTGTTTCTTCTGTGTTTTAGACTTCTGATTTCATATCCCCTTTGAAGGGCTCCTTAAAAGTTTTCTTCTGCTGAGCATTTAATCAAAGAACTTCATTTAGTAATTAGTATGGTGTTTCTTTAGTATATTGTAGTTGATGTTGATTGCTTTTTTTTTAATTTGTATACTTGTATGCTAAGCTATGTGCAGCAGTGCAGGTATATGATATTGCATGTTTTAAGGAAATTTTAGATACATTTTATGAACTCTGCAATATCGTATAAGCAAGTGTAGAGCAGACAAGAAGGATTATAGACGTGATGAAAAAGGAGTGAAAATACGTGAGTATTCCAAATTGTGCTAATTGTATCCGAAATAAATCAGAAAAATATGTAATTTAAACTGAACTCATTAAAAAGTTGGCTTTAGGTAGCCTTAAGAAGAAAAAAAAAATCCCCCCAAAAAAGGTTGCATTAATTTATATTTTTACTGATTGAAATGAATATTTTATGAGAAAAGAAAATTAGGAATTGAAATTAAACTGAATTGAACAAGCCCTTAGTTTTATTACTTAATTAGGGAACTCTTCTTTTTAATTTTTAAGTCCAACGATTGATATTTACATGTATGATCTGATTTTCACAACATGTCTTTTACTACCTCCATCATTTATTATGTGCAACAAAGGAATATTTTATGTCTCACAACTAATATCTCTTTGTTGCACATAATATTTAACGGAGTTAGTATATAGTTTGAATAGTTTTGTGATTAAGCTTATTTAGCTAGTATAGAAAATTAAAGGGTAAGGTATAAGGTATTGATTAAAGAGAGACTTGTGAAATGGTTCACCATTGTAGCAATAACACAGAGGGGACAATTCAATCAATGTAGATTGAGCTTTCGAGGATAAGGTAACTTCTTTTGTTTCAGCAAAATAGCCACACTTGAAATAACATGTTTCGGGCAATTCCGATAACGTGAGTCCTGGGGTCTGTAAAGGTTTACCGTCCAATTGAGCACTTGTACGGTCAGCACAAATTAGCTAGCTTAGGGGATTATCCGGGGATAACCGCTCTAATGCTAAAGTTAGTACTTTGATGAGAAGGATGAATGAAAAGGATAAGAAAGTATTTCTAGGAATTACAGAGAGAGAGAGAGAGAGAGAGAGAGAGAGAGAGAGAGAGAGAGAGAGAGAGAGAGAGAGAGAGAGAGATTGTACCTTAATTATGAAAATATGTTTGGGTATTTATAGGAAGATAACCAAGCTGGTGCTACCTATCAGCATAGGTGGCAAACCGATCTTGTATGCAGCATGTGCCTCCGTGGTCTGAAGCAACTTTCCACGTGGCCGAGAAAAGGGTCGTCACGGACGTTAAGCTGATATGCTAATCAACAGATGATTAGCAACGCAATCTATTTTAACAACTAATTACTAACGGTGTCGGCACTATCCCGTACAACTAGCCCCCCAAGTGAGAACGTCAGTAAAACTGACAGTCTCACTTTCGAAACCATACTTAGGAGGTAGCCTGAGTGTATCAATACCACGACATTGTGTGAAAAAACATGATAGAATTACATTAAAAAAAATCTCCGATTTATCCCCAAAGTGAGCAAAGTACCAATAGTGCTTTTGAATCGTGATGATTGACTATTTTATTATAAATAGGGAAGCTAACGCGCACGATGTGCACGCATAGTTAGTCATATTTAAATGCTCTTTCGGCTTGATCTTAAAATCACAAATTTAGTTGCTGGCAGAATTAATGACAAAAAATATGTAAACAACTATGTTTATGGGTATAAATGTCCGAGACAACTAACATTAATGCATGAGAGAAAATAAGTACATAATTAAATATTTTAGAGGGTATAATTGTCCAAACACTATTCATTAAAAAATTTTAAAAAAAATTTGTTCAATTTTTCATTTCTTAGCCCAAAATGATTTACTACGTATTTACACATTTTAAAGGGTATAATTGACATTACACTATTCATAAGAGTAACTTTATACTTTTTATAAGGTAGGGATAACAATAAGTAATCTATTAATCCTTATGCCTTAATAATTTAATTTATCTATCAAGACACATAGTATTAGGTGCACTTTTGAAGTGTGGTTATTGATTGGTTTTTAATAAAACAAAAAAAAAAAAAAAAAAAAAATTATGAGAGATTTTTTTTTTGGAAACAAATCAATTCATTAATAAAAAGTCATCCGGCATCTACAAATGAAATCTAAATTAACAAATACATAAAATTGAATCAAATTAGGTTTTCCTTCATCAGAGCTACAATCGTTGAAAAGATCTTGCACTGTGGTACATCTCTCGCACACATCGCTGGAATATATAGCCTTTTCGGAGAAACGCTCTAACGAGTTGTTGTAGCCGTAAGGATGATTCTCATCTGATTCGCCTGAACGCATTTGAAAATTTGACAACCGTTGCGATCCCGAACAAATCTTTACCAAAGAACTGACAATAGGGCAAAAGATAATTACTTTTTTGATGAACCCTAACACACAAACAAACCCTAAACAAAAACAAACAACTAAACTAACGAAAACTAACGACTCCACCATAGGGAGGCGGACGAATATCTACACTACTTGTGTAGATTTATTGAAATTCAAATTGCAAAACTAAATAAAATTAAAGGGAAAGGGTCGGAAATAGTCTAATAGTCTAATTTCCGAAGAAATTAGACTATTTCCAGCCTAAACGACCAAGATTTTGGAGAAACCCTAGAAGAGAGGAGGAGATGAGAGGAGAGAGAATAAGTTTTAAGTTTAGCTAGTTTATAAATTATGAGAGATAAGAAAGGGTGTGATTGTGTGGGACCCTAATTTTTTTTATTAAAAAAGCCTAAATAACACGTGGTTCGATTATAATGAAACAGAGGAAGTAAAAAAATACTAATTAAAACAAATGTTACCAATCACCATATAAAATTCCCTTGGATTCATCTCATTTGTTGTTCATTGTTTTATACCACAATACAAGTACATGCTTTAGGTCAAATTAAAAACCATGAGTAGTTGCTATTTTTATTAGAAATCAAGATTTATCACATTGAATTTGGTTACAATTGTTTCATGTAGTGTAGTATCTAAATATCAAAATTTATTAATATACACTAGTATGTAGTGAATGATTTGACAATACAAGTGGTCAAAACATGTATGTTGAAAACTTTCACAAAATGAAAGTAGAACAAAAAATGGATGAAGTATTTTCTAAGTATTCGGTTATCAAAATTTCATAATTTACACTACTCTGTAGAACATAGTGAATGATTTAAGTGGTCAAAACATGTACGGAGTATGTTTGAAATTCTAACAAAATGCAAGTAGAACAAAAAAGAACAGTCGGAGTATTTCAAAGTATCGTTTCTTTTAATGGGTCATGAATCATACCACTAGACCAAATGCCCTTTCTTGTTTAAAATTATCGATCTTATATTATATAAATACATTATTAATGAACCACTGTTTATAGGCTAAAACCCTCCCTAAGACCTTCGAAAGAGTTGTCTCCAATTCTCCGATTTACAGAGGAAAGAGAAAATTAAATTAAAGTTGCTCAAAAATGGCGAGAATTGGATTAACCTACTTGATCCGTTCTCAAGCGACTCAACTCATTTCCAGAAATGTTTCTTCAGGTACGCACATCTTTTACCCTATTTGCTTGTACTATTTGCTACAAATCTCAGAAATATTTCATTTTTATTGCAAATTTGGTTTAAATTCTATAAATTTATTCATTTTTATGGAAATTATCATTTAATTTGAGTACCCAGTTTGATTTTAAGAACTGGGTGTTGGGTGTATTGTATTTTTATGTGAGTATTAATTAGCTTAGATTGAGGGTGCTAAGAAATCGAAGGTAGTTGGAGTTTGTTTGATTTAATTCTTAAAGAATGATGGGTGATAAAGAGTGAATGGTGACTCCTGTTTAAATTGTTGATGTGCAATATAGATGTAGTTATGCAGTTGATTGTGATATTGGAAATGGTAAATATTTTTGATTGCATATGTGAGGTGTCTTCATCAATGTTAGTATAGTCCGGTTCTCCGGTGAACGAGTGCCTCGAGCTCTCGACTACTTGAAGAAGCTTTTGTATTGGATTTATAGAGTTACTGGAGATTAATGAAGTCTTTTAGAGTTTTCATTTGTTGAGATTGGATTTGAAGGAGAGGGAAGTTTACTAAAAGTTTGACTCATTTTAGGTTTGAGATAGTTGGGAGATGAAATACAGTAGTGTAGATATGAGCAAGCTGAATTTGATATGGGACGATTATTCTAAAGCTCGACTCATTTTAGGTTTGAGATAGTTGGGTGGAATATGAATATCTAACAGAGGAGGGAAGGAGAAAGGAGCACAGTAGAACAAGTTTTCGATTCTGACTAGTTTAGTGAAATATGTAAACAGTGGACACTTTAAGTATGCTGCTGGAGGGACGACCAGAAAGTGTATCAAGCATATTTCAAATCATACCATGTCCAAAGGTTTAGAAGTTACCAGAGTAGCTATATTATGTGATGGTAATCATTGGATTTGGGTTACTGTAGTCTGAAATCAAAAGCTGTTGGAGTTCAAAGTTCGGTTTTGTGCTCAACATTGAGTTAAAATTCTCTCTCATGTTGCTACTGCATTTTTTGTGTCTCCACTCTCCAGTTTGGGTGTTAGTTCTATGAATCTTATCTCCCATTTTAGTGTAGGTCCGTCCTAATTGCAATTATAATTTAAGGGTGATTATGACTACCCTTGATGTGCTTTGCTGAACTCTGTATAGCATGATTTCTTTATCTAGATATATCTCATTAACCATTGAACATGGTGGTTGCAAAGTCGACAAAATATTTCCGTTGGCCACAATAAGCCAGCTTCTAGTAGGAATTGAATTAGTTGATTATGTGTAGCTTGCAATCTCTGAACTCTCTTCTTTGAATGATAATATCTGATGACTCTAGTAAGTGAGAATTCAATGGCTAGGATCTTATATGAGTGATGAGTTGAACATGTTTGTTCCTGTAATGTGTAGTTGTTGATTTGATTGTTTTAGATTAATGTGGCAAATCTTCCATACTTTTACGTTTTAATGTGAGCACTTGTTAGATTTGTTCCAATGTTCAAGGGTTTAAAATGTTGATTAGCCCTGCTGGCTGACCATTTGCTCTTCTATTGTTGGAGGAATGTTAGTAAGGTTGAGTTAGAGAATTTTTCTGAAGTAATATAATGTTAAAATTATTTTTGTAAGTGAGAAAGAGTTGTACGCATCAAAGATGGCCTTCTTTATGCACTTTAGCTGTCCTTTGTTGGTTCTTGGCTTCTTGCACTTTGTCTGGGATCTTTTGTAATGGTGGTGATCTGGTGAACTAGTGACTAGTTTCATATGCAGGAGTCTCTTCTAGATTGATGTATTCTCAGGTCTAAATTTTTGTGGAAAGAAATGTTGAGGCTTCATACTCTCTCTCACATCATTAGTGAATTTAGGCTGTTTCTACTGAGTTGCGTTAAAATAATTCTATATTGTCTTCCTTTCCGTTTCAAATCCAGTCTAGTGTATGTTTGAGGGATGATGTGCTGAAATCCTGAATATGGGAGTTGAATAGCTACCTGCAACCTGCTTACCTGTGCTTCTAGAAGACTTGTTTTTGTTGGAATTTTAGGTTGCTAAGGAGTGGAGGATATGCAAGGAAGACAATAACCTTGTTGCATAGCAAATTGTAGGTGAATAGAAATGGAATTGCATGCAGTGCTACCTCCACATTGGCCAAGAAATCTCTTCTTTTGTTCTTCTCTTCCCGCTTTCTCCTTTTTAGATTGGTTATGGATAGATTATGTTTTCGGTGATACTAGCTTCAACTGCTCCTAAAAGGCACCATCATAATTTTCACTCAGTCCCCTTTTAAGTTCCAAGAAAGTTTCCACGCTTGTGTTCGGCACATTAATTAAGGATTGTGGTTGAATATGAACCAGACTGACATGATGATAGAGAGAAAATGCTGTGAGTGATGGAGTGATAAAAATGAAAAGTTAACTTCAAATGTAAGTGTGAACATTCTATTGGGATAACCTAAAAAGTAAAAAGCAAGAAGGTTGTTTATAATAGGGCTGAAGGGATATCCTGAAAACTTGTTCACGAATGATTTTTTCTTTAGTCAAACACAGGTATGCGTCCATTGTCTAAGTATAGACATGAATATATTTCTCTATATATTTGGTCCAAAAAATGAAAAGCTGAACTCATGTCCAAGTGTTTTAGAATCCTACATAAATACTTGTGATAAAATGAAGAGTATGAGTATCACCGCATTTACTCTAAAGTCTAATATTAATCCCCTGCCTCTGCTTATCTCACTCATTGTTATGAACTTACGACATCACTGACATGATCATAGATGATCAAGCCTTGCTTACCTCCACAAACCTAGTTTAGCTGCTGTAAGGTTATGCTTGCCTAAACCTATTTTTGGTTGGTTGCTATACATAAACTAGGGGTTAAGAGACAGAAGAGATAAGAGTGATCCTTGATACAAATGAAACCTGGGACTCTTTATCCCAACCAGCTCCCCATTTAAAACTAAAGTATATTATTACAAGAATTTAGCCCTGTTCTGGCAATGTGTGCAATGATATTGGCTGTTTCTATTTTTCTTGTAATGACATTGGAGCTTGTTGATCACAATGAGACAAAATAGGATACAGCTGCTCTAAAGTTGAGTGATGTAATGACACACTATACTCTTGTATGAACCCATACTTGGTTGCTGATTAGCTCGCAATTATGAGAATTTCCTGGATAAGGTGCACATCATATACGTGACATATTTCCTGTGACAATTTTTCACCATCATATTATATGCTCTTTGGAAAGTCCTAAGGTCTTTTTGGTGTTTCATAATTGTTTGTTAATCCAGTTTCAGGTTATAACAGCATTAGGTCAGAAGCACCAAGACTATACCCAAATGCAGAATTATATTCTAGCTCTTCTATTCTAACTACTTTCCAGAAGAGGTGGGCATCTCACAGCCCTAAAACACAAGATGACAACAAGATCAGCATTGGACCACGTAAAGGGCTAGAAGCTGGTGAAGATGGCAAGGATGCTGGGGTGGCCTATTATGGTCCAATTTCATCCACTATCAGGAAAGTGAAGCTTCTCTCCCTTTCCACCTGCTGCCTATCTGTATCTTTGGGGCCTGTGATAACCTTTATGACATCCCCGGAAATGAATGTGATCTTGAAAGGTGGTGTTGCAGCTTCTGTCATGTTCTTCAGTGCTACTACCACTGCTGTCCTTCACTGGTTTGTGAGCCCTTACATTCATAAGATCAGGTGGCAACCTGGTTCTGATACCTTTGAGGCAGAAATGATGTCGTGGTTGGCTACCCCAATAACCAAGACTATAAAATTTTCTGATATAAGGGTCGCAGAGACCAACAGGCCGTTCGTGACGTTCAAAGCTAACGAAACCTTCTATTTCGTGGATGCAGACCACTGCCCAAACAAAGCTTTGCTTGCCAAATTGACTCCGCAGAAATCTACTCATGACTCTGCCTTCAAGAACTTGTGATTGAACAATTGCCCAACGGAGATTCTGTAGTATACTATCTCCTTAAGTTGGTTTCTTTTAACACTTCTTAGTCTACAGTGACTTTTTTTAAGTGAGTCAAACATTGAATTGCCTGACAGATGAAAACACAATGTCCTGAGGTTTTTGTCTATTATAAGTGAAATAATGCGCTTGTTTATGATGTTGGAAGTGCATTGCAATAGGAAAATTTTGCTGAAGTGAGATCATTACAAGACCCTCCAATCTATTTTTGTCATTCTGAATTCCTCCCCATCCCTCCGTAGAAACCGAAAACAGCAAAGAATATACTACCTCCGGTTCTTATTACTCGCAACAAAGGGGTATTATTTGTGAGAGATAAAATATTCCTTTAGTGCGAGTAATAAGAACCGGATGTAGTATCAATTGTTGAAGCTCTAAGTCCTTGCTAGAATATGGTTTTGTTTGATTGCCAAGACGATATTCATTGAGTTTAACCGACTCAAAACTTAAACGGTTAAAACCCAATCACAATGAGCTCTGAAATTCACCTGGATTTTAAAGATAAATTAGCTTTTTAGTTGTGGCTTTTAGCAGTTAACTAAGCTTCAATTGTGAATATCAAAGATCTCAGAGGAAAAGAGGTATTGTGAATTGGAAAGAAGAAAAGGAAGAATTTTAATGTTTGAATTTTTAACTAAAAATACAAAAAATTAGATTCTAAAGCACTTTGTATATTACTATTATTTCCCACTTTCTTATTCCACATCAATCAATGGAATCATTAATAATCACACAAAATAATATACCTTAATTAGTAATTTGACCAACCTTTTATTTTATTTGACATCCTACACACAAAATAATACACAAAATAATATACTTTTAAAAAAGTAATATTTAATGTCAACAATCCATAGGAGTTCGTTCAACTACAATTCAACCTACTCGTCATCCTCATTTTTTTAAAATACATGAGCTGTTCTTATAACTTCAAACTTTCCTAATCACCACTTTAGTAAAGTCGAAACATTAAAAAAACATGCTTCGTATAAAAATCAGTTAAACATTAAAAAATAAATAAATAAATAAGCCATAAGAATAAAAAAGAATCATAGAAAGCACTTAAATAAACAAGCTAGAATTAATTCAAATATAAAGTACTTTTATCTGATAAATTGTTTCATGGGTATCTTAGACTTAAAAATACGGAGTACCAATTTAAAGAATCATACGGAATTGGAAAGTGAAAACAGTTTAGAAAGATGCACAAAAATGAAATCAGCAAACACATTAAAACGCAAAAGCATAATAATAATAATAATATTGACCTCAATAAACTCCGGAAAACAAAACTTCCGTCTCAGCTAACAGCGCAAATTCAACCACAAATTTAACAGACAGCAGACGATAAAGAAGACTGCAGATTATAAACCCGCCACCGGCGATCAAGTACCCAGTTCTGAGAATAGGCACTTGATGTTGCTGAAGCCACGAGTTTAAAACCCGCAAAAATATGACCAAACAATAAAATAAAGACACTACTAATAGAAACCAAGTCTTTATAGAACGACTTCTGATAGCATTTATCATATGCTTTTATTGACACACTAGCAGTTCATTTCTTCTTGAGGGCAGCCTTGGTAACCTTGGCACTGGTTGGTTCCTTCTTCTCGACGTTCTTGATGACACCGACAGCAACAGTCTGCCTCATGTCCCTGACAGCAAAACGTCCGAGGGGTGGGTACTCAGAGAAAGTCTCCACAACCATAGGCTTGGTGGGAATCATCTTCACGAAACCTGCATCACCGTTCTTCAAGAACTTGGGCTCCTTCTCGAGCTCCTTACCAGAACGCCTGTCAATCTTGGTAACAAGTTCGGAAAACTTGACAGCAATGTGGGAGGTGTGACAGTCAAGAACTGGGGCGTAACCATTTCCAATCTGTCCAGGGTGGTTCATGATGATGACCTGAGCAGTGAAGTTAGCAGCTTCCTTAGCAGGGTCGTTCTTGGAGTCAGAAGCAACGTAACCACGCTTGAGATCCTTGACAGCAACGTTCTTAACATTGAACCCAACGTTGTCACCGGGAAGAGCCTCTGGAAGGGACTCGTGGTGCATCTCAACTGACTTAACTTCAGTGGTCAGTCCAGTGGGACCGAAGGTAACAACCATACCGGGCTTCAACACACCAGTCTCAACACGTCCGACTGGCACAGTTCCAATACCTCCAATCTTGTAGACATCCTGAAGTGGAAGACGGAGGGGCTTGTCTGAGGGCCTCTTTGGCTCGTTGATCAAGTCAAGAGCCTCAAGAAGGGTTGGTCCCTTGTACCAGTCAAGGTTGGTGGACCTCTCAATCATGTTGTCACCCTCAAACCCAGAGATGGGAACGAAGGGGATTTTGTCTGGGTTGTAACCAACCTTCTTGAGGTATGAGGCAACTTCCTTGACGATTTCATCGTACCTAGCCTTAGAGTACTTGGGGGTGGTAGCATCCATCTGTTTCAAAGAGTAAACATTGTCAGCATAAGAATATGAACGAAACCACAAATAACTTAAAAATTATAAGATTTATCTGCTGCAACATATGAAACTATAGTTATACCTTGTTACAAGCACAAATCATCTGCTTGACACCAAGGGTGAAAGCGAGGAGAGCGTGCTCACGGGTCTGACCATCCTTGGAGATACCAGCCTCAAAACCTCCAGTGGTGGAGTCAATAATGAGGATAGCACAGTCAGCCTGGGAAGTACCAGTAATCATGTTCTTGATAAAGTCACGATGTCCGGGAGCATCAATGACAGTACAGTAGTACTTGTTGGTCTCAAACTTCCACAAGGCAATATCAATGGTAATACCACGTTCACGCTCGGCCTTAAGTTTGTCGAGCACCCATGCGTACTTGAAGGACCTCTTGTTCATCTCAGCAGCTTCCTTCTCGAATCTCTCGATCACACGCTTGTCAATACCACCAAGCTTGTAGATCAAATGACCGGTTGTGGTCGACTTTCCGGAGTCGACGTGGCCAATGACCACCAAACTGATATGAATCTTTTCCTTACCCATGGTAAACTGTTAGCCAGTAAAAGCAGCAACAAAGAAAAATTAGAACACCGAAAACAAACCACAAAAAACCAAATTCAACTGTAACACAACAAAATATAAATATTAATAAATGACAATCATAGGTTGAAAACAAATGTCGGTCTTATCTGGAAATGATTGACAAAAGAACAAACATAATATAAAAACAATATAATTAACATGAAATTCAGTCAGAAAAAATCATATAATAACTCAATGTTTGTTTATATTATAATAAAACACATGCCAGGAACCAGATTCGAACTGGTGACTAGAGGATAACAGATCCTTTGCTCTACCAACCTGAGCTATCCTGACCATAATACTATTTCATCATGAATTGATAGTTGGCTCATAAGGATCACATTACATAACTTATGAGCACTATCAATCCACAATAACATCATACATTCACACTGAAATACCAAAAATACCAAACAATTGCATAAGACTTGAAAGAATATCATCGATTTATACATTAGCATACAAATCTGAAGCAGAAAACATGGATTTGAAGTTTTCAAAAATAAAAACATCATAATATTCACATAAATCATTATTTTTGAAATTATTTCAGTACATACAGTAGAACATGATCACTTAAACCTTCAAAGTTTGGAAAGTAGTCATGAATTTGAAATTCAAGCAGTCAAACAACAGATTTAAGCATAATCGAGCTAATAAACTACTAAATCTAAAATACAAGATGATCAATTAGCATTCAAACTTCAAAAAATATTTAATAATTAAAAATTCAAGCACTTAATCAACAGATTTGAACATTATTAGCATGATCAACCACTAAATCTAACAGAGCAATTAAATCGACCTAAAAACAAACGAGTTGAAACATTTTCGTAACAAAATCAAACATTCAAAATTTCAAAAAACAGAGTGATCTAAGCTGTAACTCAAATCTCACATATACAGCATAAAATCAACATTACAAACGATCAAAACTCCGGATTAACACAATCAAAGAGCTAAAATGAAGAAATAAAACAATGATTTAAAAATACTTCAAAAAATTTCAATCGATCATAAATCCACCTGAACAAAATCAACTAAATTCCAAAAACAGAGCAATCGCACCAATAATTCATCACTTACACAATCAAACCTCGAAAACTACAAAATTCAAACAATACATTTAAAAATCAACACATTTAATAATCAAAACACAACAATTAAACAATAAATCTAATAGGAAAAGATCGACAAACCTGAAAGAATAGAAAGCTGATCAAAAACCCTAAACGGCAGAGGAGAGAGAAAATAAAGAAATGGGAAGATAAGAAATTAGGGTTTCGAGGCGAGGCTTTTGTCAGGGTTTATATAGAGAAAAAACAGTGGTCGAAATTAAATCCATTTCTGACGAAAATAGCCTCATTCCCATAATTAAATTACGAGAATATCCTCTTTTAACCGACTTAAATATATTAAACAAAAAGACGCGTGTTAAATGCTGATAAGATGACGACGATGTGAGTAAATCACGCGCTAATTAATCGCGTGTTAATTAGGGTTTTTGATTTGAAAGTGTGTGGGAATGCGGAAGTCGTAAACTGATTGGGCGAAAATAAAGAATAAAGATAGGAAATTGGTTGGGCGTGAAATTAGGGGCGGCAATTTAAAAGGGTGTACATTGTATAAATATTAAATAGTTTACTAGGGTTTTTAAGTGAGCTTAAATGAAGTTTGTGTATTTTTATGTACCACTACTATTACCACTTTTTTGAAGTGGGTATTTTAATATTTTTTCGGTGCATGTTCATTGGTCACATGATCATGTGAGGTGTATGTACTGATAAACCAATAACAGGTATTGATCGCTCCCAGATTTTACACTACGGAGTACTCTTAGTAAAGGTGTCAAAACCAGACCGATTCGAAAAAAAGTCATTCGTTTCGAATTCTAACCGATTCGATTTGGCCTAAGAAATTCAGGACCCAAATCCGATATGTAATTGATTTGAACTTAATCTGAATCCGAATTTAATTTGATCTGAACTTAACCCGACACCGATTTGACTCAACTTGAACTCAATCCGAACCCGATTTGAACTCGATCAAACCGAATCAATTTGACCCTACTTGAACTCAACCCGATCCGAAAATGACCCCACAAATAACCAAT